TTTTCCAAAATAAACAAACAGAACCAAAGAATAACTTTATTCTTTTATTCAAAGTTTATTAAAATACAAGAACAAATTTTAAAAGCACACATACCACTCAGCACCAATATAATAACACTCTTTCTACTGATAATCTCCAAAGCATTTCTGTTTCTGCAACTGAGCAGCAGAGAAATACACACGTGCATTCTCACCACATTTACCCAGTACCCATAGCATCGTGCCCCAAATAGTCTCCTTGCCAGGGAGACAAAGATGGGCAGAGGAAAACTAATGTGACTACATCCAACCACTAACTGAGTCGGTGACTCTTTCATCAGTAGTTATCATTCGCACACTGGTCACCTCTGCACATCCCAGTCTCCCTCTCTGGGTGCCCGATTACTTGGGCTAGTGATAGAGTCTGGCGATAATGTGATGCAAAACTAAGTAAAACTGGCCAACATTCCCTACCCAATATCTTTTAATTGCTTTGGTTACAAAGTACTGGATACTTATGTCTTCATAGTCTCTCATCCTAATACACATAAAAAGTACATGGGCCAGTGACGTAGTCCGGAGAAGTCTTGAGAGAATTTCTATTTATTCCCCACCCCCTTCTGTGGGTTTCTTTCATTTATGTGTTTACCTGTTTGCTTTGGGGGGAGAGGGGGGAGTTTTGAGCCCAAATAGTGACTTCATTTAACATCTCCTGGGTCCTTGAGATCTCCTCAGCAAATACTAAATAAACTCCCTGCAGCCCTGGTGCTAGTTCCGTCAGATGGGCAGCAAGCCCTGACTTGCATGAGCAGTCTTGTTTGGACATCTGTACATGTTGGCTTTCTATTGGTTCAGACTCGCCTTGAAACAGAGCTGGGTCTCTTAAGTCTGAGACCTTGCCTCTGCTGCTATCCACAACGTAAGGCGTTAAGAAGCGGCCCAATGTTCTCCTCATCCTAGTCATTCATTGACACCTAGCAGCCCTCTTCCATTGGTGAGAAGTTTCTTTTCAAATTCTCCCAAATCAGTTGACCCAATTCCCAGGGCCTAGCTCTTCTCAGTTAGCAACTTCCTGACTCTCCCAGGCCCTACTTCCTTCTTACATGGAGGACCTCAAGATACTACCAAGAGAATGCTGATCACCAAGCAGAGATCCATACTTATGCCCCATTCTGGATGTACATATGAAACCTAAGTTTGGATTCTATTTTTAAGATAAAGGAGAAAGTTGGACTATAACTAAAAACATTTTGCTCTGATTTTTGGCAATATCATTTTAAGTTCCTGGAATTGGAATTCTTACTGTTAATCTCCACTGCTGAGAGACATGACATTGGACATGTTCTGAAAGCTCTACGTGCTGGAGAGGTTTCCATTAACTCTTCAATGGGACAGAAATTGGTGTCTACATTTTCCCCTTTGCAATGGCCATATGATTCTAATTAAGCTAATTTTCCAAACCATCAGTCAGCTTTACGGATTGGAAAGTCCTGTACATCAGTGCATTCCTTTTGCTGTGGATATAACCCATAGGGCATGCTAAGAGCACCTTGTATCCAGCTGGGAATTCTCCCAAAGGCATAGTTTTGTCTTTAACATGCCCTCTGGTATTTTATGCAGCAAGGCAGTACCCACACATGACCTCACCATGTTTCATATTTTTTATTCAAGAGCCCAAATAGTGAAATACACTTCAGGCAAAATAAAAGACAGCAGGCTTCTCTTCTTTCCTTGGTCATAGAATAGGCATTTTCTGCTTAATGGCAGAATTTAAATCAATAGGTCATTTAGAACTTGATATTACCAAAAATCAAGGATACATTCTATAAACAAGGTGAAGACATAGTACCAGAGATCCAAAACATGAATATAAAAAGTCATATAAGTTAAACGACTGTCACTTTAGCTATACAAAGAACAGTTACTAGTCCGCCTCTAAGGAGGTCAGTTACATTTTAATATCTATATCAAACATTTCTACATTATTGTGTGGGCATTTCATTCACGCCCATTCAAGAAAGTCGTTGTTGATTCCACTAAAATTTTCTCTACGCAATAAAATAAAGTAAGTTTGAATAGTTCCAAGACATACATCTTTCAAACACAATGTTTGAGTAAATCCAGATGCTATGATAATATCTAAAATCTCTTGGAAACTATTTCAATAATAGACAAGCTAATTCAGTTTAAAAGGCTAAACTGATAGCTCCATGTAAACACAGCCTGTGGGGGAGGGGATGTTTAAGTCTCAATTGTTCAAAGGAACATACTTTACAAAGTATGTTTGAACAATTGTTCAAATGAACATACTTTACAAAGACAAGGTAGGTGGGGTGGGTATCAACAATCTAATAATTTCTCTGAGCATACCAGCTAAGCATTGATTCTCTTCTACTTCAGATAATGAGTTCTTGTTATATTCATAAAAGATACATCATAGGAAATCATAAAAAATCATGTTGAGATAAATAGGTTACATAATTACAGGCTTATCATAACTCTGGTAACACCAAGCCATTCTACATACTGTAGGATTCCTGAGCTTTGTCAATTCACTTTCTTCATTGGCCCCTAACTGCCTTTCTTCCAGAAAGTCTTCTATGTTCTATTGAACATATCTTTTTCCCTGATATTCAGCCTATGCCTTTGTATATTTACTTCCACTGCTTCATTTTTCCATTGGAATATCCTCGTGGAGAGGAATTGCACACACACGACCTTCTCTTTTCCTTAAACATATATCACGACTGGGTGCTTTTTCCATCATCCTTTTTCCCAGACAACTAGCACTGCCTTAGCCAAATCTCATCCCCCCACCAGCTTCTCTAACATCCTGTTCCATTATTGTACATGTAGAACAAAGGGGAAGTTTAAGGACAACAGGGCGAGTGAGCTGCAACCAAGTTTTCATTTTACTTTTCTCGGGTACCACATAATCTTGACACCATTTTAAAGATAAAATTCAAGGGGGCTCACTGAGTAGTCTGGAGTATATAGTTTAATGACTACGAACTCTGAAATAATCTGTTTTCCGTGGGAATTTCCAGAAATTTGTTAGATGATGCCACATTTTCAAAATTTGCTTTGTTTCTTTGCAGGTGTATTTTATAGAATTTAAGACACTGGGAAGCTTAAATGTTGCTGTAAAAAAAACAATCAGTTAAAAGAGTACATTAATACCTAAACAATAAACTAGTGATATGACTGATACATTGTTCCAGTTCTGTTTTTTTTTTTTTAATATACTTTTTGTTCTTACACACTCAGTTTCCACCTTTTCCTTATTTCAGGCAACTAGTTCCGGAAGATATTTTCAACTTGAGATTTTTTTTTTTCTATGACTTTTATTGTATGATTCAATCATTAATGGAATGGTCATAAGAACCTTTGATTGTACATATCAATACAACCATGTACTGTGATTTGACAGCATCCTCAAATTTACAATAAAAAATTTATAATACAAAATTAATTGGTCTATTCTTTGGGGGTTATGATATTTAGATATTATATTATAGGTAAAACTATAGTATCTTTAAAGAGAAATGTGTGTATATATATATATATATACACTGTGTGTGTATATATATATATATATACATTGTGTGTGTGTGTGTGTGTATATATATATATATATATAGCATTATAATGATGATAGAGGCCTTAGATTACTAGACCTCAGCTAATTGGAACAAAGGAAGACCCAGTCCAAATTTAAATGTAAATGGGAATTCCATTTCACCAAATTCCATGCCACTGAGGGTTGCCTTATATCAAAGCCTCCAAAATTATTAATGAGAATTGTCTCAAACTAACTTTCTACTCCTCTATTTTGTAACTGAAGAAATCTTGCTTATTTGCACCTATTATTCATTATAGTTCACCTACTTTGGGAGGAGAACAGTGCTATAGCTGAATGGCTAGGGCACCTTCCTCCCACAGCAGCTGAGAATATATTTATATATATTATAAAGACTATATTATGAAGAATGTACTCTCCAGCTCAGCCACCGTTATGGAGACTAAGACCAAGAATGAGTGGGGCCACATCATAATTGTAGGAATGGAGAGGGACAGACCAGCACCACTGGACCTGCTGGTTTTACATTTAATCAGTATCACGGGGTATAATTCACCCACTGAAAATATACATACCACAAACCTGTTTCAAAAAGTAATTATTTCTACCAAAGAATCCTCATAATTACAAATAATGAAGTGTGGGGTTCTTTTTTCTCCCCTTTCCATCCCCTTTTCTCCCTCAATTGAGGAGTATATGATAAATCCATTGATTTCATATGTATATTCTCAATGCTAATTTCAGTTGAGCTGTTTCTTTTTCTGGCCCATATATGTTTTATGTTTCCATGTTTCTGTGACTAACAAGTTAGTCCCACTCTCTATAGCTTCAAGGTGAAACTCTGTGAAGCCTCCTCATCTTTCTGCCTCCTGTCCCTAGCTTGTCAATTTGATTTTCTTCTAGGGCTTTCCCCACCTGCCTAGAAAGGAACCCGAAGATTTCAGATAATCATCCTCATCCTCCAGGTAGGGCTCATTCTTGATATCTGCAAATATACCTGTGAGTTCTGGGATGTTTAGACTGGCATAGAGCACCACAAGGCTAGAAACTAGAACAGCAGAGACTACTCAAACACTGTTAAACACAAAAGCCTTAACCACAAGGACTGGGCTCAAGGACTCGTTATAAGTAAATATTTGGGAACTTTCCAGATGGGCTCTATCCGTGCTGAATAAAGTGTAGGCAATACCCCTTATACTAATAAGGACAATAGTTCCCTAACATAGTAGTTATTCAGGTAAGTCTTTTCTTCAAGTCCCAAAGCATGCATCAGCTGTATTACTTCTTTCCCAAGGCAGAATGAACACATGTTGAAACAGGGCTTCTTCCTCTCCATCTTGGGATCTTTTCACTCAGGGCTTCTCACTAGGAAGAGATGTGCTGGGGTACTATTTAGCCAAATGCCATTTGAGTGGTAAAAGGAGTATGGAGATGTTAGAGGTTTATGTTCTTCTGACATGTAAATTCCTGTCTTTCAACAAGACAATGGGACTCAGTTGCAATAGTAGATTCAGTTCTCAGTTTCCTTTCCTTTACATAATTTAAAAAACAAAAACAAAAAACTCTTTTACAATCATACCTTTAACCAGCTAATCTAGATTTCATCTTTTGCTGAAATTCTTCTCCAGCCAACGCCGGACTTCTTGAAGGTTGTAGCAGAAGGGGCCCTTTCCTCCCAGATAAGCAATTTTCTGTCTCTGCACAATACACACACGTTCAAAGGCTACCCCATAAGCTACATTGGCATTATTGTCCATGCGGTCAGCCACAACTTGGCACTGGGGCGGCAAGGAGAAACGCTCCAGAAGCTGGTGGGCTGCTGCACATCGGTCTTCCTGGTTCCTGTGCTTCTTCACTTCAAAAGACAAAGAAGAATCACCAGGCACTGCCCAACCATCTGAAGGATGAGCCTCATCAATGTAGACCAACAGGAAGTCAGCCACTGACGAGAACTCTTCCACCAGTTTGCTGAAGGCTGGCAGCTGGCTGGTAAAAGGAGGTCAAGTGGCTGAGCCAAAGTTGACCACCAGTGGGCGCTCAGGGCTGGCAAAGTCAAGAAGGTGGCACTCCGCTCCATCAACCATCTTCACCTGGGCACCATTTCTACTGTTGTCACCTCCTTCAGAATTGGAGACATGTACCACACTGGAATTGGGGGCATCTTCACCCAATTTCACCTGGTGGTGAAAAAAAAAAAGGGAGAGAATACCATATGAAATGCGTTGTTACTCCATTTCACTCTATACAAAAACAACTGGCTCTAATCAAATGTGGTATTCCTTTATAGGATGTAATAAACCTATATTGATTTAAGTAAAGAGGCATCATGGCAGGTAATGTAAAGAAAGTCCCTAAAAAGAGTAGAAGTCTTTTTCACTCTGTAGAGTCACTGAGACTAATTGTTTTCAGCATTGAAGGCATCTCAGTTAACTCTCTTCATCATTACGTTGAGGCTGGTATTCTTTATTACCCTTGCTTTGCCGTCAATGGTTAGCACGCATTGTATAACAAATGATTAACTGACTTCATTTTAAAAGTTAAAAGTGAATGGTCTAGTTTAAGAGAAATTATCAGAGTTGTGGGAGTTAGGTACCTCCATCTGAATTCCCACTGATGAATCCCAAAATACTTGGGAAAGACCTTTATATTCTTGCATGATGCTAATTCATTTAATCTCAACCAATGGACAATGATCCCAATGAAGTGTATTTCTGTCCAGAGCTAGAAAACCCGGGCTCTGCCATTTACTGGAAGGGCTACTTCCACTTTACTTCTTCAGTGCCTCAGCTTTTCCATCTGTAAAATGGTGATGCCTTCCTTGGACAGTTATAGGGTGATAACATAAGAAAATGAGCTCTTGTACACTACAAATCATTGTGTGGGTATAGGTTCCATCATTAAATGTCACCCAAACATGTGAAACAGCATATCATCTTTCTGGGAAATTCTATGTTTTAAAAAAAGATTATCCTTAGAAGTGATTTGAGCTCTTCTCTATATGATGTCCTTCCTGGAGGTTTCTCGAGCTGCTACTTACTTTCAGGTTCCTACAACTGGAACCTCACCATTTCCATAAAACAAATGAAATAACAAAAACCTACAATTATTCCAGAATTCTTTTAATTCCTCATTTTTCATGTGTTTTTGGTTTGGTTTGTTTTCTTGTTTTTATCTAGGAAATCACAAACCATTTACTAGTCTGTCATACATTCTATTAACGAGCACCTCTGAACTAAAAAATATTCAGGCAGGTAGAGAAGAAGGTATGCAAGAAAATTGTTCCACATTCCCCTTTGCAAGTGGTTTAAATAGCTGAACACAGACTGAAGGAAAGTTTGCTGGCCTTTGGATCTGTAAATTGATGATAAAAAGCTGGCAACATAAAAGAACCAATTACTTCAGTTTGAATTAACACAATCGGATCTTCCCCTAGAATGGTTTAATCAAAGCCAATAACATTAGGGACAACTTACAACAGCCCAATTGATTTTTATACACTATACTTAATATTACAAAACACTTCCAACTGGATCGACTTATTCCCTTCATATAAATTCAGCCACACATAACACTGCTAGTAATTGAAGTCACTTAGAAGTAAATTGTTAAAAACTCAACAATCCAAACTGATGTAAAATACTCAAGGGCTTTTATTCATAAGCTTCTATCTAATGTGAATGCGTAACTCATTTTAACTGTAGAGAAAGAAGTAAAGAAGTTCTTTCTCCCTTCTGAAAAATCCTAGCAATGCAGATTTGAAATGACACAATTAGTTTTCCTAAAAAATCTTAGAATAACAACCTTCTTTCTTAGAAAAGGAAGCTGTTGGTATGATTTAAATAAGTACGTTTGTTTTCAGTTACTATCAGGGAGAAAGTTACTTTATTTATATTAATTTTCTTGGTTAATTTGCAAGTTACACTAGATGGAGAAATTTAATAAGCTACTTCCAGCTGGGTTATTTTATACGAGGTAAAATAATACCTCATTTATCTCTGAGGTATTAAAATATACTTACAATTTAAAGATACACATTTTAAAGGTATTATAAACTTTTTTTAAAAAAGATTTTATTTATTTTTCAACAGAGAGAGAGAGAGACAGCGAGAGAGGGAACACAAACAGGGGGAGTGGGAGAGGGAGAAGCAGGCTTCCTGCTGAGCAGGGAGTCCGATGTGGGACTCGATCCCAGGACCCTGGGACCATGACCTGAGCCGAAGGCAGATGCTTAACGACTGAGCCACCCAGGCGCCCAGGTATTATAAACTTTTTAATCTATGGGTACTTCTTGTACTTCTTTGTAGATCTAGGTGGTGGGTAGCATTACCATTACCTTCTCGTTAGATTTTTCCCACTTAAAATACAGGTAATAATTCTAAGAGGGCTGCTTTCAATGATATTGCGCTGTGTTCCTCAATACACTGTGATATAAAGATCTGAATGCATTCAGACCAGTCTAAATCCATGAACTGTCATAGTGACTTCTTGTTAAGTGAGCAACCCATACACAGGAGAAAAATCATCTCTGGACTGTAGACTTATAGGTTCTTGGTAGGTGAAAACAAACCATCTGCTTGCTGGAGTCATTTTAAAGACCTCTGATGCCCCTGACTCTCACCCAGGCAGAGCTGCTGATCCTCGCATTATTCTTGATTATTCAACTGAATAATCTAATCTGATGCTTCAGTCACAGGTGACTCTCTTATTACCTGTAGTTAATTTTCTTGGAAAGTTAAAGCACCTTCTCCTTCTTTTTAGTGACACATAGTTCAGCCACATAATTCTTTCAAAATACAGACTAGTCCACGTCAGAAAATTTCAAACAAGTGTAATACATTCACTCTAAAATTAAAAATTAGAAAAGTTACCAAATACATAATGCTTGTGTGTGTGTGTGTGTGTGTGTGTGTGTGTGTGGTGCCTGCAGCAGGGTTGGCATTTTGTTAAGCTGGGAATTTTGTTGAATGAATAACTGAGTGAATAATAGCTGTTATACTCCTAGGAGTAGGGGTCAATGAAGAATTTTACACTTAATAATAATCTTGACCTGCAAAGAACACAACTGTGTTTGGGTGATGGATATGCTACTGAGTCAGATAATTTGGAAATGTGAATCCTGGAGCCCTATTGTAGAATTCCGTCATAATCAACACCAAATACTATCAATCTGTTCTTGATTATCTCGGCTGGTCCATGTATGAAATGATAGTATCCAATCCTCTTTATTTTGCTGAGCAGCCATGGGGCCCTACCGCAGATTGGAAGGTCATAAGTGGACATCCTGTTCATGAGGGTGACTAGGTTAGAGAAAACGTGTAGGTAAGACCAATGATATTAATAAACCTATGGGGGGGGGGGGGCGAAACACCTATTATTTGTGAGTCCCAATGTGAGTAGACCAGTAGTCTCCTCTTGTAAACCTCATCCACTAATTGTAAAGTTTGTCCATTTTGCTAAAACCTGCTGATGACAATTTAGCAATGATAAAAAAAAATAAACTTCAGAAATTTAAAAAATGAAAGTTCCCTTTAACCTAAAAAAATAAACCTTTTAAAAGGACATTATTGTCCTTTCTCAATTGCCATTTGAGACCAATGTCATTTCTCATTTGATCTCTGTGACAATTAAATTCCTATTATGACCAGAATTTCAAATGAAGAGTTTCTTGGTTTGCTCAGTTATACGCCCTGCTGAGACGGAATGGGAGAATCACCATTGTCTTCAATGATGGAAGATTCTTTGCTTTCCCCAGGAGCAAAACATTCCTTGACAAAGAGCCAGGATGATGAAGAAAATAAAAGTTTGTCCCATAATAACATTTAGGCTGCAGGAAAGAAGCTCAACAAAAACAAGTTATCCCCTGGTACTCCCAAACTTTGTTTTAATTTCCCACAGTGGCACAGAAAGTCTCCTGGCCACAAGTTACCTATCATCTTAATTTCTCCTTCTTAGAGGGTTTGTGTTTGGTTTTTGTCCTTAATGAGACATATTTGCCAAAGAGGCATTCAAAAGGCATTTTTTACTCTTGCGGAAGAGTAATTAGGTCGGTACCTCTTTCCCTGCCAGCATTAGCTGCTCTAAAGAGAACCCTGCCCAGTATTTAATGCCCAAACACAAGAAGCATCATTTCCACTAATTGGTCTTGAAGTTCCGATGTTCCCAAAGGGTCCCTTTATTTTGCAAGGATCAGAAAGGACATACGTAAAATGTAATATCGTCATCACTGACTTTATCGCTCTCATCTGCGCTATTACAGTTGTCCTTTCTTATGTTTGTGTAATCAACATCAACACAACATCAACAAGGAAGGTAAATAAAGGGTTGCATTTTTACAATACAGGGCATCTCTGGGCAGAGCACAAATGTTGTGATAGCTATATTTATAAATATGAACGAGAGTATAAATATATGGCATATAAATTGACTCCCTTGATGATGGTATTCCTTTTACTGACAGTGTTCAGTGCATGGGGAAAAGGATAATACTTCTTTAGCATGTGGACTGTGAAATGCAGGGCAAGGGAAAAAAAGAACCATTCATCAAGCAGAAGCTGGAAATAGAGCATATACTACTAACCTTGTTTTTTTTTCCCCCTTTTCCACAGCCCAAGAAAGGCTTCTGGACAAAATATCACCTCATCTCATGGTAGGAAGTAAGGCAAATGATAAAAATGGTGGTGGGTATGTGGTAGAACAATATTTACACATCCTTCTTGCTAACCAAAGCCCTGGAATGGCTTTATTAACCATCAAGAATTTTCAAATTTTTTGAAATAATGACCAGAATGCATCAGCGGCCTTACAAACGTGGCCAAACAATTATTAAGCAGCAATTTACCCATTTACATTCAAACTGGCCAAATAAACCAGAGTTGAAGAATGAGCTACGTACTCTTTCCTCGATTCCCTTTTGGTCATTCTCTTTTTGATTTGTACCTTGAAAACCTTGATTTGTACCTGAGCTCTAGCACTTCCTAGTGGTTTATCCAAGTGATGGACAAGCTCTGGCTGTGGCCTCCTTTGTGTTCTTTTGGGACAATTTCTCTCTTAGGAGGGCTATTTTCCATTGTAGAAACTAGTATCAAAAGGTTTGAGGTGAATGAAGAGGAGAAGGATGTTAGAAACCCTTTCAAAACCAAAATTATATGTTCAAATGAATATGTTTTCTGTACTACTGCAGTATTTACCACGCAGAAGCTAAACTGCTTGTCAGCCTCTATACTGTGTGTTTACTTTTACACTTCATTTAGGTAGGAGCCAGACTCCCAGACAGGGTAGTTTGCTTATTGGTTGCATTTTTGAGTCTCGGAACACCAGCACAAGGATGCAGTGTTAGACGCGATGACACAGATTAGGAAAACTTAAAGAACACGCATCTGGTGTTCACCTCTGTCACAAGTTTCCGTAGACATTCTTTTTCATCAAAACCTTGCACGGAACTCCCTCTAACCGAGCGCAAGTTATCTTTAAAGGTTTCCCTCTGAAGTTAATTTTAACTCCCAGTCAATATTTTAACGTAGAAGGGTTGTTTTATTTGGTTCTGTTGCTTTCCTTGTGGCCTCCTATCGGAGCCAAACACAGGGATAGCACTTTTATAGCAATATCTTCCCAAATAGCTGACCTGCAACAGAGGGAATTAGAAAGGACGAGCCTAACGTTTACAGGTGCGCAAATCCCTCAGCCGGGAAAACTCTGCTTCTGCAGGTGGCGGTCTCAAAGTAACGCAAGTCAGGGTTGTGAAATACGACCCTGCATCACACAGAACCTCCTCCAGGGTGGCCCTAGATTGGCTCCACCCAAAGACAGTGTCGCAGATGACAACAGCAGTCAGGGAAGTGATTCAACCTCTTTCAGAGATTCGCCGTGACCCTTAAATGCCACCACAGCCGCCACCACCACCTTGTCATACTTGGGAGACAGAAGGAGACCTAAAATCAAGGCAAGCTGTGTTCACAACGTTTCTATTCATTAGACACCCAGTCCAGTCTTGTCTCTGGATATATGGGTTCTTGAGTTGCTTCTTCTCATGGTATCTATTATATAAATCATAAAAAGCAAACATAATAACATCAGTTGTGAACTTGGTCACTAATCAAATCAATAGAAACAATATAGGAGAAGAATACATAAACCATATGCAAAAAAAAAAAAAATCACTTGTCCTTGTCAATCTCTTGGACTACGAAACACAAAATATTGCAACACACTATATATTAGTGAAAAAAATAAATAATAAAGTTTATTGAAGAGGCATTTGGTTTTTTTTCCCCCTTTTTATTCCAATAAGCTGCTTAAGAGGAGACACACTCCTCTTGTGGGTAACAGCAGAGCCCCCATATTTTATGTGAGATATTTATACAAGGATATATGTGTATAAGTAAAATTCTCCCAACTGGTGACTTTCCTTTTATAGGCAAAAAGTCCATTATCTTTCAAAGAAGTAAGAGTTTAATATGCTGAGTTCAAGCCACTGGCACTGGCATGTTATCTTCCTAATACCTACAAGATCCAGATATGGATGAGGGAACTTGCTAATAACGTCCCTGACATACGTGAGTGTGCATTCTCCACCCTCGTCCGAAGTCTTTTCTCCCACATCAAAACATAAAACTTTCACATTCAATGATACATTTGTGGGAATGAAATGGCCATCTCGATATCTCCCTCCCTCAATTCCCCTTTGCCCAACATACATAACATTATATGGTTAGAACCTTAAGCATTGTTTCCTATTATTATAAAGGAACTTTTATTTACTAACAAGAGCTCTTACTATTCTCTGGCCTTAAGGACAATACATGCAGACGTTCTGCAGGTAACTTTTGATAACAAAGACATGCAATATAGTAAAACGCCCCTAATTCATGATGAATATTTCCTTCTTGAACACTTGTTTAATTTTCAGTGGAACAAGCTTACTCTGGATTCTTTGTGACTAGAAGTTACTTCTGTTCCTTTCCTGGTGCGCAGATTTTATTTTTCTAGATTTTATTGATGGGGGATTCATTCCTCCCCCCCTCTCTGATTCTGAGTTTTAATCCTGTTTCTGAGGTGCCACTTGTCTATAATGTACCACTTCACTGGCTTCCATATGCCTCTCAAACTCCCTTCCCTGGCATCTCGGACAAGGTCCCCCTATACAGTTAGGGAAAACCAAGATTGTCTACTTTGACCACAACTTCTGCCAAATGAGTCCATTCTTCTTAATTAAGCCCAGAGATCTTTAGGACTCATGTGGGCATGGACAGAGGGGACAACCGACAAAGGACCAGTTCCCCTTTGCCCCTTGAGATTTGAGTTGGGGGTGTCCTACCAACATCTCCAAGCAGCCAAAAGGCTGGGATGTCAGTAAGTCTTAGAAACAAAGATCATCAAGTCTGGTCTTGAGAAGCAGCCCTGGGACATGAGTTCCGCAGCTAAGTAAGGTCACTGCTCCGGTGCTCAAGACACGTGTTATAACAGTTTTGAGACTGTAACGAACCATAGACTTATCTGCTCTTTCTAGGACAACTTGTTTCACTTTTGAGAAAGCAAATGTGGTTTCCCTTACAAAGTCTGGATTTCTGACAGCTAGTTCTCAGCTCTTTCTTTTTTGCAAATTGGTATCCGCTAACCCCGGGACTCGGCGCCTGATAACCACTTCAAAAGGGTTCAAATCAAATAAGTCACGGGGATGAAAAGTGTAGCATAGGGAATATAGTCAATAATTTTGTAATAACTTTGTATGGTGACAGATGGTAACCACACATATCATGGGGAACATTTCTTAATGTATATAATTGTCGAAACCCCATGTCGTACACCTGTTCATTGTATGTCAACTATCCTTCAATTACAAAAATGTCCATGTAGAGGAGGATGCTGCACGCAGGGCTGCCTTCATTAACTCTTACCTCTACCAGGAACGAGGGGGGCTATTATGCCAAATCACACCAGCTGTGACCATTTTGCTACATCTTGCCAACTCTGAGGGTTCTGAGTAGCATTTTCTTTTTTTCCCCTTGCTTTTCAGTGCCCGCCATTGAACCGTCTTTCCTAATGCGCCTCCACCTCTCATCAAGCAAACCCTCAAAATCCCAGTTTGTGACAAGAGCAGGTTAAACGCAGCAGTCTCCCCTCCCCCGACATTTTCCGACTTTTCCCCAAGTTATTTAACCGGCACAAACACCCTCTACTCCAAAATTGCAGCAAGACACGAATGACCCTATTAGAAAGCCTCCTTACTAAGCCACGCCGAGTCATTATGACTTAATACCTGTCAGCCCCAAATCTAACCTGTGTGACAGGTGTGGAAGGTGCAGGAAGGAGCTCCCTTGAGCATAACCTCCAGGCCCCCAAAGAGAGCTCCGTGATCCCAGCCCAGGGCTCCCCACGGCCTGCCGTCCCTAACTTGCCAACCCCTACCCCTGCTGATCACGGGAGAAGCCCCTGTCGCAGCAGCTCACCTGCTTGTAGGCATCGAGGAGGAAGCTTTTCCAGATGCAGCGCATTCCCTCTGAGGTCAGCATGCGCCTCCACTCCCCGCGAGTGGACTTGGAGCGGCTCAGCAGCAGCACCACGTGCTTGAGGAGAATGACCGAGTCATAGAGTGCCAGGAAGAGGCAGTTGGAGAAAAAAACTGGCAGAATTTGCAGTGTGATCAGCAAGTCTACGCTGAGGATGCCCATCTTCTCTGCCTCCCAGTCAGTTCCCTTGTGCGCTCTGGTTCCCCTTCACCCTCTTATTTAAAAGGGGGGTGGTGATAGAGGGGGTGGGGGAGATAAAGGGGAAGGCCGGGGGTGGGGGGAGAAGGAGAAAAACTAAATTAAAAGGAAGCCCAAGTTGTCTCCTCTTTCAAAGAAGCAGAAATGGTAAGACCAAGTCCAGTCTCTCCAGCCCAGCAGTTGGAGTGTGCCCATCAATTCATTCAATTCGGAGCTGCTGCTTTTTTTTTTTTTTTTTTTTTCAGGATTTAAGATGTTAAAAAAAAAAAAAAAAAAAAACCACACACACACACACAAACTGGCGTACCCGTTCCTAATCCAGTTACCCCTCTCAGAGTCGGTTAAAGACAGGCAGTTCTACTTTCATTTCCAAGCACCTATGAGACTGTGGCAGAGATTGCAAATTTTTCTTTAGCTTTTCATTGTCTCTATGTTCAGAAACGTAGACTGTTTCTTTCTTGAATTGCCAGAGTTTTAAAAAATGTGCTTTAAGGGTAGTTTTTCCCCTTCTTTACTCCGTTTTACACACACTTTCTGTTCTCCTTCTCCCAGGCTGTCTCTCTCTCTCCCTTCCCCAGGAGCGACTGACTCCTCTTTTCCTCACTCCCTCTGGCTTTTCCTTCGTGCTATCTGTCTGTGGTGCAAAGTGCCTCTCTCTCTGCAGCCCAGTGAGTCTCCCTGAAGCCTTTTATACATTCCCTGGCTAATTGCTGCAATAGAGAAATGAAAGCCTAATCTTGGTAAAGATCTTGACGTCATTGAGAAAGAGGGCTTTACTTTGGCCAGAACTGCAGTGAATAGAAAAGCAAAACTCAACAACTTTTTTTTTTAGAAGGAGGGGGGGTAGAGGGACAGTGGAATTTTGCTTTGTGATTTAAAGAGAGGGAGAGAGAAAAAAAATTAATACTTTTGACGGTTTTCAGGAAATGCTTCCAGACTTTGGGAAAAGTAATTTAATGTAACGTGTAAATTGATAGGGAAACTCTCTCTCCTCTGATGATGATTATTGTTATTGTTCATTTATGAGGGGTTTTTGGAAAGAAAGGATTCTGGAAGGCAGGTAGAAAAGAAAAAGAGTACTCAGGGATGGTCTCTGTTCTATTTTTTAGAAGATGTGGATGCTTACATCTGGTCTTTATACCTTTATACTGTGACAGTTTCTCGTCAGATTTGTGACCTAGGTTCTTTAAATATTTTTGAGTCATGATCTTATTTAAGAAAATTCAAAGTGAGTTGTGAGGTGGAAAACTTTTAAACTCTTTGAGTACCATCACAGCATTTCTCTAAAGCTTTTTGCAGAAAATGAATACAAGTTTTCTTTTCAGTGTTACTGAAATTTCCAATGCAAAAAAGAAAAGAAAAAGAAAAAAAAAATCTTCCAGACACCATGAAAGTAGCTAGGTGACCAGACCTTCTTTTTGTTCAATTTTGCCTACATGCAGATTAAATTAAAACTTTCTATCAAGTGGCATTAAGATGCCATAAGACTGAGAAATAAATTTCTTTATAAGTGAGCTCTTTAAATTCTGCACTTCCCCTGCTTCTATTAACATAACCCTTAAGAGACCTGAAGCTTTAGGGAATCTTCCTTTTTCCTTGAAAAAAAAATTTAATTAAATTTGTAGGTGGTTAGGAGCAGACTTTGAATTGGTTCAAGAGCCACACTGAACATTGCTCAATGGCTCGCCTCTGCCATTGGTTTCCAGGACCGATGTCTAGGCAGACAAGGCTTTGGCAGAATGCCATGACCCCCACCTCATTCTAGTTTTCCTTCCTCACTTACCTAACCAATCACCTCTAGGAATTATGTTTTCTTGGAAGAAGGAGTAGTAAGTACAGACACTGGGGTGGGGATACAGAATTTAAATTGAAAATTAATTAGCCAACTTTTCTGTGTACACAGTGCTCTCATTAAGCATGAGCTAAGCAGGAGATGCAAACCTGTGGTCAGTACATTTCTGTGTTTTGTCCCTGTGGCTATAACCTGCAAGATTACAAAATAATTTAAAAGCCTAGAGCAGGGGGTCATTAATTAGTGGGCCAATGGGCCAAATTCTGCATATATATGCATTTTATTTGGTTGGCCCAGTGCTTTTTGCCTTTAAAAAAATAATAATACAGTGAGAATGCTTTTAGTTTTCATGAGACCAGGGATTCCTATCTGCTTTCTCTATTGCTATCTTCCACCAGTTAGAACCATGCCTGGCAACGGAGTAAATTCAAGGAGGATGTACTGAATGGACCAATGGGCAGGGTATGCATTGCTCCACACTAGGGGGCACCATTCACATACAATATGATATGACTACGGTGCCCCAGAATTGTACACCTGGCTGCTCTTGGATGTGGCCCTTCCCATTGACACAACCCTGGCCATTCCCTATTATCTTAAAAACCTGATTCTTTCATCTTTCTCATCAGTTTAGCCCATTATGAACCTTGGATTTATATTCCATGGGCTAAATTTTGAGAGATTTCAGAGCTTAGAGAAATGAATATAAACCATAAAGAAAAATATTTTTCCTGTGACTAGTATACATTGTTGGCTAAAGAATATTATTCATATACATGATCTCCATTTACTCTATTCATTCTCTCAATCTTCTCAATGTCCCTATTGAAGAAAAAAAGACAAAAAGAGAGGAAGTGACAACATGGCATTTTAACTAGTGTAGAAGGGAAAACTAAAGTGCCAGATGAAGTCCCACTCCACAATGACAGAAGGTCTGGAGTCAGGAAATGATGTTTCCACTCACTGTTCAAGCCTTAAAATCTTGCCCCTTCTCAGACATTCATTTTGACCTGTTTGAATGAAAGCAGTGCTCATTTAAGGCAGAGACTTTAGCAGCTATAAACCAATTCTTCCTCACTTGTCATTTGCTTTCAAGGAGAAAGATATGGTTAGAAATGGCAAGCTAAGGAGAGGGATTGGTAGAAAATCAGAAAAAATGTTTTCTTTTTAAATGCAAAGTTCAAGGCACATCCAAACTACAAATGGTTATAAATCTGAATGGCTTTTTTTTTTTTTGGTCTTTTTATTTTCCTTTCTCTTTCTTTCTTTCCTTCTTTCTTTCTTTCTCTTCTTTCTTTGGAAGTCAGATGTGTTTGAGGTTTTTTCTTTTTTTAAATAGAAGAACAAATAGACACATAGCCAACCTCTTCATATCATTTCTCAGATTTCTTCCATCACTTTTTTCAATGAATAAATGAATCACAAAACTGAGAGCCATTCTTTTACCTGTTAGACAACTTTTCCATTCTAGAAATTACATTTCTCCAAAGCTATTTTTTTTACACACAGTTTGCTTGTTCTAATTATTAACAGTATTCAGCATTTTGGTTTTCAAGTAATTATATACCCATGAAGTAAAAAAAAATAACACATACGGTGACAGAGAATGATTTGTCCCATCATATAGATGAGAGAAAGTGGATCATGAAGTCTATAGAGTCAGAGCTCATGCTAGGATATTTTCCCTAAAGCTGAATCTCACTTTTTTCTTATGTAACTGTTTTGTGGGTCCTGGTCATACTCTGAAAATCGAAACCCTTGCCAAAAGCAGCTGTGCTAAATTATTTTACCTTCTAATTTGCAAAGGATATCTGGGATTTCACATCTGTTTAATATTGCCCCAATTCAAGCTCCTGGTTTAGATTTCATATGGTCATTTCAAAGGCTTGGATATCTTCGTGGCCGTATAAGTGTTCTTAGCAATTAACATTGTAATCAGCTAATTGCAAACCAATGTGTGGCATGTTGGTTGAATTTCTCCATACAACGTTGTACACAACGTTTCAAATTCTAAACAAAGGCAGCTTAGGGCAAAATGCTTTGGGTTTTTTAGTAAGTGCAGAAACGCTGTAAAATTGTTTAATTGTGTTCTCTTTCTATAGTAAGAGAGCATCATGTCCATCATTGCTTCCTTCTGGTTGGAGAAATAATGTGAGTGGTAAGTCTTCCTTTGGTCTACTTTTTGACTCAAATTGAGACTGAGAACATGAAGGTGGATAATTTGAGAGCAGACTTGGAAATTTCAGGGGTGGAAGCTATCACTGCTATCTCGTTATTGTTTTATGAAGGAGCCAAAGTGCATCCAAAGAATTCTGTGGAGTTAATAATTCATGCTGTGGATTTTTAAGAAGTCTTGTTTCACAGAATTTTATTCCTTGTAATTCAAACAATTTATTAAATATAGTTTAAAAATGGAGTTTAATTCTTCCTTTATTAAAAACTTGTCAAATAAATAGATTATAAATCAAAAAATGTCTGGTCAGGACAGGTGTGTTGGTTTGGGGTTTGGGAATATGACTGCCATATACACCACCCCCCAAATAGTGCAGTCCTTATCAGAGAAGGGAATCAAAAACTGCACGACCTTCCGTCTCTACTAACTCCTGGTTGTGCCCAAGAGGGAGTAATAATGAAGGGTTTGTACTACCACTACTGAATCATTCAGAATTCCCTGTGGGCCCAGCCATTTTACAAACGCAGCCGTGTTCCCTGCCTTGTGATGAAACAAGCTCAATGGATAAAATAGACAACCCCAGAGTAAACTCTGACACACCTTGAGCAAAGCAGCTTAGGGCTGGGGCAGAGAAGGCAGACGCTGTGGGAGGTATGAGCGTTCTATCCCAACAGCTGGTCTTAGGTCCCTTTGCAAGCCCTGGCAGAAAACACAGGCTGAGGTGTTAATGCACTTTTCCCTCAGGAACTGCTGCTACTCTTTTGTTTCCAGGCCACCTGCTGGTAAGGCAGAGAAGGAAAGGAAAAGGGAAAAGACAACAGGAAGGGGAAAGCAGAAATGAAGAGAAGGAAGATGAGGAGGGTGGAGAGGAGAAAGGAAGGGAGAAAAGAGAAGTTTCAATGAACTGGCTGCGGGAGGCTCTGAGCAAGAGAGCCAATTAATGCCAATTGTGGCAATGTTTTCTGTGAGGAAGACAGCTGTCCAGAAACTGGATGGAAGCCACCACCTCATTTCACAGAGGCCACGGAACAGCTGTTTAAAGACAACAGCCTTCATTTGCTATTGACCTGCTCTAGATCTAAATTGATGGCCAATGCCCACCCCCAGCTGCCCAAACC